TGCTGAAGGACCTCTCTAAATTAGAGGAGAAACAGTAAGACAGGCATTCACTTAGGAAGAACCAGGAGGGGGACAGGCTCAAAGCAAACAACGGCGTGTCTTCTTGACCCAGCTCTAGGTGAGGGGGGTCGATTCTTAAACTCTGAGCCTCCACTTTTCCTCCTCCCTAAAATGAAGAGAGCTAGACTAGAATTGGTCACAAAGACTCCTTCAACTTTATGATCCTCTTTTTTTATTTTTGAAGTTTCTGCTATAGGGCGTGTGTGGTGTGTGCTCGCCATAAAGAGCAAGAGAGACAGAAAGTGAGAAAAAAAACCCCAGGGGGATGGCCCCGCCACAATCCCTTCTCCTCCATCCTCCTCTGGGATCTTGGGCATGTACGCCCATGCGCCCAGCGTGAGTTTAAGCCACTGGGTCTGGGACTTGAACCACAGTCAACTATATGGGACTCCAGCGACATAGCCATTAAGTCAACTGCTGGTCTCATGATCCTAACTCTTGGTAACTGTTTAGATAAGTCCTAGTCCGCCCTCCTAGTCAAGGGAACTGGGAACATGAGCTGATCTCCATGCCTGTCTCCAGCCTGTGAAATGGGGACAGTGATGGCGTCTAGCCTAGAGGGTGCTGAGGCAATGCACATAAGCAGTCTATAGGGGACCTGGCAACAGGAAATGTGCAAGACAAATGCTTGTTTTTTTCTTTTTTTTAGTTCTTAAATTTTTGCCAGAGGGCATATATGCTCACTAGAGAAAGAGCAGGGAGACTGAGAAAGGATGGGAGAAAGCGCCCCCCATAGGGTGTGGTCACGCCACAATCCCTTCTCTTCCATGTTTTCATCCTGTTGGAATTTGAGGCACCCATATGCATTCATTGTGTTTCTCAAGCCACCAGGACTGGGATTTGAACCACAGTTAGCTATGTTGGATTCAGATCCTTTAACCACTGGGCCACCAGACAGCCAAATGCTAAGTTATTATGGTTGTTGTTTTCTATGCTGATTCTGAGAAGTCCTCTTTTTTTTTTTTTTTTTTTTTTTTGTGGTTGCTATAGGGCACGTGTGCTCACCACACAGAGACAGAGAGATAGAAAGCAAGAAATCACACACACACACACCCAGGGGGGATGGCCATGCCACAATCCCTTCTCCTCCATTCTCCTCCTGGGATCCTGGGCACGCACACATACACACCCGGCATGAGTTTAAGCCACTGGGTCCAGGACTCGAACCGCGGCTGACTACGTGGGAGTCCAGCAACATAGCCATTACAGTAACTGCTGGTCCTCCAGAAGCCCTTTTGAGAACAAAATGTTATTATTTTGGGCTCAGCCTTGGTAGTGCATGCTGGGATTACATGGGAGGCTAGGGTAGACCGAGGCAGGAGGAGATCGAGTTCACTATGACCTGGGAAACAGTGAGATCCTGTCTGAAAAAGATCGGGGAGTCTAAGGCAGGAGGATCTCCACAAGGTGAGACCCGTGGTCTTAGAAAGAAAGAAAGAAAGAAAGAAAGAAAGAAAGAAAGAAAGAAAGAAAGAAAGAAAGAAAGAAAGAAAGAAAGAAAGAAAGAAAAGAAAGAAAAGAAAGAAAGAAAGAGAAAGAAAGGGAAAACACTGAGTTTCCATACCCCACTCTGCATTGACCACTCCTCCCTGGCACTCACATCTTGTGTGTTCTAGATTGTTGGACTCAGCCCCTGTCGCAGTCCCATCCCTCACTGGGAATACACTGAAGGGTGGCCTCTGGCCCCCACCCGCTCTGGTTCTCCGGGGCTGGGGTGAGAGGTGGTGGAAGGAAGGAGAGGCTGCAGAAAGGCAAGCGCTGTGGCCTTGCCCTCCCTCCATGTCCCCCCTCCCCTTTCTCTTCTGACCCCCCTCCACTCCCTCCTTCAGAAAGCACAGGCAAGTCTTACCCCAACTCACTGTATGTGGGAACGCTGATTTTTTCTCACCTCTCTGCTTCCAATCTGCCAGAAACTAAGATCGTATGCCAGGGACCCAGGGGATCTTGGAGGAATACTCTGCTAGACTTCAGTTCCTCTTGTTACTGCCCCGTCCCTCCCCCGATTTCTGCTCTGATGGTGTGCTCTCTCTTACAAAGTCCCCCTTCTGGGACATAAGCAGCCCTTCCTTCCTCTCTCAAGCCACTGGGACCCCCTCCCCTCCCTGCAACCCCTCTCTCCCCTAGTTCCAGAGACATCTGGGAAAGCGCTGCCACCCATGCCCCTCTCCCTCTGGAGGACCTGCAACACCGGTGCCTGTTGCTATGGCACCAGGCCCCACCCTCCTCTCCAACCCCACGGTGTATGGAGCCTCCCCCAACTCAAGCACTGGCAGGCGCACGCGAACACACACACACACACACACACACACACGTTCTCTGTGCATCTGACCTCTGCCCTGGCTCCCCACTGCGGGGCAGACCCACAAGCTCCCACACTGGTTCCCCCACACACTACCGCTCCCCAATTCGCCCTACATCCTCCCGCCCCTGTAATGATAAGGACCCCAGAGCGCACTAAGCGTCGGAAAGCAAAGGGGTTGAGGGTGATACAGAGGATGATTTACAGTTGGTCCCGCTCCAGACACTGCCATTCCGCAACTCACGTATCCCCTCACCCCCCATCCCAGGCCCAAATCCCCGAGGAGGTTCGGACTACAACTCCCAGCAGGCCAAGCAGCCTGAAGTCGTGGGCTGAAGGAGCAGAGCACGCTGGGAGATGCAGTCTCGGCGTGTTGCACCTGCCGCAGGAACCAGTGAGGGGAGGAGTGTGGCTGGAGAAGATGGAGTGAGGCTGCGGTGTGAGCAGCCTGCAGGCTGCTCTTTCCCCCCACCAGAGCTTTCCGTCCTCTGCGGAAGCAGAGGGACACATGCTCATTCAGTGCCCTTCTCCAAGGTCCAGCAGAGAAAGAGCCCCCTCCCCCACCCCTGCCTCCTCCCCACACTGGGCTCTGCAGCTCCGGTCCAGACGTCCAACCAGGAGTAGTTCCAGGCTGAGCCCGACCAACGTGACCTGACGGGGAGAGGGGTGAGAGAGGGCGGGGCTGGAGAGAGGGCACCGGAGAAAGTGACCATCCACATGTGTGGGCAGAAATAGTCACGCAAGCAGTATGCAAATAAGCTCGAGCCGCCCACCCCCCCCGCCAGAGCGGGGGAGAGGAGGC